CCCCCTTGTGGTATACACTCGCATGTGTGTGCGTGTGTACACACGCATGTATTCGCATGTGTGTGCGTGTGTACACACGCATGTATTCGCATGTGTGTGCGTGTGTACACACGCATGTATTCGCATGTGTGTGCGTGTGTACACACGCATGTATTCGCATGTGTGTGCGTGTGTCTGCACCCACAATAGACTCGCGTGGAGGCGCACAATCTCACCCCATGGAGGTCGTGGTTTTAGAAGAAGTGAGGGGGGGGGGGGGGGGAGAAGAGGGAGAGGAGAGGCGGGTTTCGTGGGAGACGTGCAGAAGAGGTAATGAGAGCAGGAGCGAAGACGAGGGAGATGGGGGTGGGGGTGAAGGGGAGGCGGAAATGTGGATATGTGGAAGAGGACGGAGGGAAATTGCAAGAGGAATGAGAAGAGAGCGGTGGGAGAAGTGGAACGATGGTTTTGCCAAACCCGGTGCAGCGGCGAGTTTCACGAGGAATCTGTGGGGGAGCAGCAATGTGGCGTTAATGCCCCCCCCCCATCCCTGCCCCCCCTCGTATAAGGGGGGCTTCTTGCGGGAATGAGGAGCCTGTAGGGGAGGGGCTGTTGGGCACAGGCTCCTAACCCCTCCCCTCCACCCTCAATACAAAGCTTCCCCTCCCACTCCCACCCTCCCTTGTGTTTGCACTTCGGGGTCTAAACTTGAACCGCGTCGGGCGAGGGGGTAGGGGACCCCTGTCTGGCCGTGCTGCTGCTGCTGCTGCGGTGGGGGAGGCGGGGTCATTCGGGGACACGGGGCGTGGGAAGGTGGTGGCGGTGGTCTGATGGAGGTGGTGGATTTGGTGTCGTTGAGATTGCGGGGTGTGTGTGTGGTTGAGATGGTGGGCAGTGGATTTCTGTTGATGGTGTTTATTGAGATTGTGATGGTGGTGTGGTGTGGATTTTTGGCAGCTGTTGTGGTGGTTGTTTATGGTAGTTGGCGAGTACAGTGGTGGTGGGATGTTGTCGTGGATGTTGCTACCGTTGTGGTGAAGAACAGAGTACAGTTGTGGTGGTAGTTGTGTGGTGTTGGTGGCGGAGGTGCTGTGGTAGCGGCTATTGTCGTGGTGATGTGGTTGTGGTGGTGATCGGGGGGAGAGGCACCACAATTGATGTAGAGTGGGAGAGGCCCGTAGAGGGGGTGGAGAGGAATGCATTGAGAGAACCGGCCTCTCCCTGTACCCCGCCGCGACTCTCACGGGCCCGAGTGAGAGCGTGCTGTGAAGGAGTGTGTGTGTAATGAGTGCTTGTGTGGGGAGCGGTGGCGCAGTGGTTGGTACGCTACAAACCCGACGAGCTCGTAGCCAAACATCGGTGACGAATCTCCTGAACCGGACCTGGCACTGCGTCTAAAACGTCGGTACTCTCTCTCGCCCCTCTACCCCCCGGCGAGACTAAGGAGGTTCTGGCCACACCAACACCACTTGCCCTAACAGGCTGAGGCTATACGGTGGCTGGCTTTGTCTTTGTGTAATAAATGTGAGTGTAGAGAATGTTGTACGTGCGAGAGATGTTTTTTTTCAAATCTGTAACCCAGAGGATGTCGGAGGTGGGAAGTGGTGGTTTAGTGCACGGCCTTGGAAACTCTGACCTTGCGTTTTTTAGATTTGGCGAGTGATTATCTGAACCTGTGGTTTGACCTTAACCAGTCACATGTTGCTTTTTGGCGGCCCCTCCCACCCATGCTGCCCTGAATAGGTGCTTGCTAACAACACTTTTCCTAAAACGGCCTTGTTTAAAAGGCTACCCGGGGGATAATAGTTTTGAGGGTTAGGTTTTTGGTGCGTGCAATTCTGTACTTGGAGTACTGTGCATCGCGAATATGAACTTGTATTTTGCTTTTGTTAGAGCTGAGGACGGGGGCTCAAAGCGGCCAGCTACAAATCGCATGATTTGACTAACTGATCTCAGTGCAACGCGTATCCTTGTCAGAAATCCATCTTCATTTCGACTGCAGGAATCTGAGTGAGGTGGGTGAGGTAGGTGAGCTGAGGTTGAACACTGGATAGGATCTAAACTAAACATTATCCGATGCACACGTTTGTACTTGTAACCAGTTTTAGAGGCTGTACATTGTGTGTGTGTGTGTGTGTACGAGGGTGCATGTAAAGGTGTGTCCATGACATTGAGCGTTTACACTAGGTGTGCATTGTTTGAAGGGAGTTGAAGAATAGACGAGGGGGCTGGGTTATTAACCAAACACCAACGGCCACATCCACTCGCCCCCTACACCCACACCCTTACCCGCGCTCCTATGCCCGCACCCATAAAAGCAACCCCTCCCATAAGACCACCCCCACTCGCATCCACTCCCATACCCCCTCCCCCATCCACACCTCCACTCACAAATCCCCCCCCCCCCACCCCTTTACTCGCACCCACAGAGGGATGTGTAAAGTTGGGAGCCTGATGATGGGGGGTGTGATAACCAATGGGCACAATCACTCTGGGTAACCTGTAACAACACCTGGATCTGTTCCTCGTGACCTGCTAGGAGCAGCGAGTCTTCCACGCCTCCGCAGTGAACCTAGTCTGGCACAAGTTGTCGTGGTGAAGGCACCACCACTTGGTGAATGGCGGCCGTTGTGGTTTTTCTGAAACGACAACCAACTCCACCACACCTGCCATCACAATCACCGCCGCTACCACCCCCACCGTCTGGACCGTGTCTGCAGAAATCGTTAGGAGCGATGGTGGCCGTACAAAGTCTGCGTGTGGTAGATTGCCGTGCCCGGGGGATGAGTGGTTTTTATGCCGGGAAAGCTTTTCGAGTCTCATGACTGTCTTTCAGGAGAATCCTACCATTTTTAAATCCTTTATATTAAGTTCGCTTGCTTGCTTACGACCGTGCAAATCTTTCGGTCGTTTTTTAACCCACTTCCCGTGATCCAATCGAGCTGACATTTTCCACAGACTCGTTGTGCGTGACAATTTAATGTTCGTGAAAATTTTTTTCAAAAATTTTACACTTTTTTTTAGGACAAAAATATTATATTTAATTACCAATTGCTTAATGGTGCAATGCAATCATCTGACCCATAGGTGGCAGCCATCTCAAGCCAGAGGACGAGAGGACTCTAGCCGCCACGCATATAAAGGATTTATAGTGAAAAACTTTGTTTTTACGGGTTATACTTGTTCTTTTTTATGCAGTGGCAGACGACGGTTGCTGTGTAGATTGCAATCGAGGTAATTCTGTGCGAACTCCTATTTTGTGTCGTAGGGAGTGGCACTAACGAACCCGGTGACCCGAGTTCGATTCCCGCTCGCCTCCAGAACAGTGGCGAATATGCAAACTGGTTCTGGGCCTGCCCTAGATCGGCTCTGCCCTAAAGGAGTACCCTGTGTGACCATGTAAACATCAGCACTGTGGAAACCCAAAGTGGCCAGTTGTGGTGCAAATGGCACTTGCCCAAAGGCTATATGGGGGCGCTTTGTGTTTCTGCATGTGTAGGGGAGATGGTAAATCACTGGTTCAGTCTGATCAATTTTTATAACCGCTTCCAATCAAGGGTGAAAGCATTGACGATGCTTTTTTTTTTAGTTGTGTAACGTGCGGTCGCCATAACTCCTTAAGAAGATTCGGTATGAACTAACGCTTATCATCCAGTTGTATTGCTACAAGCTGCTCGCTCTAGAGAAAATTGGCAAAAATTGATGGAAAGGTTCCTCCCAAAGGGGTTTTCCAAAACATGTTGACATCCTCTGGCAATGTGCGTACCCGTCACCTGCTATGTGGTCTCCCTTCTCGACTTTACGCGCATTGTTACCACCAATCAAATGGTTCTGAGGGCAAGCCATGCGTGTGCATGCTTTTTCGTCCTTGTATTTCCGTGGATGCTACGTACGGAAATACCAGTGGCTGTGGGTGGGGGAGTCCACGTCAAATAATTGTGCACAATATAGATTTTTCTTTTTTTTTTTAAACCCACGTTGAATTTTGCACACCGTTTGCCAAAATGTATCGCGAGTTTGACGGGTGGCCCTGCGGGGATGGTGTTTGCTGCGAGTCATGAGGTTTGATTTCAAATCCAGGAGGCAGGCCTGGTCCATTTTTTTTATAGCACTGACTTTTGTTATAAATGATAACAATGTGATTTTTTTTTTTCAAATGTTTCAAGGACCTTCTCAATTGTGGCAACCGAATTCTGAAATGAATGTCATCTCTTCCGACCCAGCCTTCTTCGTCTGCATTTGAGGGCATTAATATCGGCGACTACTGCCACGCTTGCATGCCATTTTTTTCGTACAACCAATTGACTGGAGCTTGAGACTTGATTTTCAAATTGCGGAATTGCAACTTATTCTTGATGGGTTTTTTTTAAATGCCACGCGTTTTTTTTTCCCCCTCGCCAGTGTCGCGCTTAATTTGTCTTTTGGATTTCCAGCTTTACTTCCTTTTTTGTACATAGTTCTGGTGGTTTATTACTTTCATATTTTTTACGAGTCATCTTAACATTCCCCTGCTTTTGTTCTACTCCGCCCCCTGTAAACCCTCCCTTTCCTATCCGCCGATCTTGGGGCTGAATCTCCCATTATAACCTCGTCACCATGGGAAGAAATAAATGAGCTTCTAAGCTCCAATAGTCCTTGCCCAAAGTAGACCTGACAACAGATTTGCCGCGATGCGCGTATGAACTGGTAACGACACCAAGCGCTGTCTGCTTCACAGCGGACCGCTAAGATCCCGTGACGTCACTCGAGTGTCGGCCATTGCATGCGGGCGTCACGTGTCCATGTTTTCCAAATTTTCTACAATTGCACATTTTGAATCTGTGGCCCTTCTAATTCCCCCCCCCCCCCCCATCACCAACAACTTGGCAGGACCCTACTGAAAAGGATTTGTGACTGAGGCTGGGTAAACAAGTGGGATAAAAATTTTTTTCTATAACTGTGAATCCCTTTTGGCCACCACCTGCCCCCCCCCCCCCCCCCCCCCCCCCCCCCCCCCCCCCCCCACCCGCATGCTGCTGCAGGGAGCCCTGCCCTGGGGGCACCCACTGCGTTCCTGGGCAGCTTCCTGGGGGGCCCTTTGGGTGCTCCACTGGGGGGAGGCTCAATGGGGGGCTCGGCCACACCGCCCGCTATGTCGAGCTCTGCTGAACGTGGATTCCAGATGGCACCACAGGGCGCCATGACGCACGTGTGGGCGGCGCCACCACCACCACCACACGACGGTACGTAATGTCCGTGTGTGCGTGAATGGTAGACTAGTGGTTCGTGCACCGCACTACGAATCTGGCGACCTCGCATTCCATTACTGATGGGGCTGATTGATGGTGATGTAAGTGATAATGGTGGCGACAAGTGGTGCTGGTAATGAAGCTTGCAGCGATGAACGTGTGATTTCGGATGATGATGGTAGGGGGGGGCGCCCGGTTGTGTGCTCACGGCTGTTATACAGGCTTCTCCCATTTGCCGAGCAGTGGGGGGCTCTACCCCCCATACCTTGCTTTGGGGCCACTGGACGGCACGGGGCCCACGGCGTCCCCCTGTCTGTCGCGGCCGCACGACCCCCACACAGGTACGCCACATTTCTGGCCAGACACGACTCTGACCCCACCGCGCTAGGCCGCCTGTAGTAGCGGTTGGGTGGAGAGATGTGCACTCGCCGGCGCCGTTCCCAGTGATGCGTCCGGGGCGGGTCTCTCTTTCTCCTGGCAGACGGTGCGTTCGGCGGGGCTCTGCCGGTCCAGCCCGTTCTCCACCGTGATGTCGTAGTGCCGACAACCTCCCGGGCGCCGCGAGAGGGGCGGGCGCTGGCCCGGACCGGCGCCCGTGACTCGGAGCGGCCCTCGTCAGCCAGCGGCACCCCGAGGGCAGTGCGGGGTGACCGGCGGGGGAGGGCGGGCACCGCCCTGGCGGGGGAGCCACCCAACCGCGATGGGGCCCCTGCCTGGGATGCCGGCACCAGAGTCGTCTGCTCGGTGCAACCGCCAGGCAGAGTTGGTGACGGCGGTGCCGGCGATATGACGAGATCCGGCGATGCCAAACTGGCGAGGGTGGTGCGGTCGCACTCCATGGGTGTCGGCGGAGACGGGTTCGCCCCGGACGAGAGGGACGACGCGGTGGGCGCCGGGGTGAGATCGGCAAAGCCCAAGGAGCGCCAGTGTGCCGGCGCCATTAGCTCCTATGCATCATGCGGGCTGGGCCACCCAGGGCGGCTGCACCACAACTCGGTAGCCCATGGCAGTTCTGGTGAGCACCGTCCGGTGGCGCCCACGTACATGCTGTCGGCGGGCCACCAGGACCCCGATGGTGGTGGTGCCGCTGCCCGGTACGACCTCGCCGCGTGGCAAACGCAGCGGCCGCCCGTGCTGCTGGCGCCGGAACCCACGCCTGGCGAGACGCCGGCTATCAGAGGCCTCCTGCAGTACAGCGACTCGTTCTCCTCGTCGGCGTCGGCTTCGTCGTCGCTGTCTTCATCGCCGTCACCGTTTGTGCCGTCCAACGGTGCCACTGCCGCCTCCGGTCAGAGAAGTCCGTTCGGCGGGCTGGGCCGCGTGCCGCGAGGCCCCGACGGCACGGCGGGGCCGGACACTTCCAGTGCTTGCGGTGACGCGTGCCACCCACCAAGCGACGCGGCCGCCCCTTCAGTCGGCGCTGGCGAGGTTAGACACCCGCCCGTTGGTATCGCCGTGGCGGTTGCCAGGCAGAGGGGGGATCACCCCCACCACCACAACAATAACCATCAGCAGCACCACGATGACAATCGCCATAACTATGACAATAACAGCCATAACCAGCAGCACCACACTGTTCTGAAGTCTCGGGCCGGCACGCCCTCCTGCACAGCCTCGTCTGGTGGTGCTGCCGCGTCAGCCGGCGGTGGTGGCGATGGTGGTGGAAGTGGCGGTGGGTTCCAGACATCCGATCGCAGGGTGCGGCACCCAACTCCTACCGGCATACCCAAGGGTAAGACCCACTTGATCCGAGACCTTAGCTAAACTTGACCTTGCATGTTGAACTTCTTTTAGGAACGTACGTAGCTAACTGCGCTAATCGGAGGTGCAACCTTGCCTGCTCTAACCAGACCAACTGTCTGTCCCTGTGTCCTCATCTCTATGTATGCATGACTTCATATTGCACTGATTCTGTTTCCTCTGGCCAGCAACAACCAGCACTGCTGAAGTTGTACATTTTGAAAAAAGGTCATAGGGCTGCTCGACGTGGTTCTGGCCACGCCACTTTGGCCTTCATAGGTGCTCGCTAGCTACACTTACCCCAACCAGTTTGAGGCCATAGGGGGTTCTTTGTCCGTGGTGCGTGTGTGCCTGCATACGTGTGTGTTCCTGTACGCGCGCGTTTTAAAATTAAGTGGCGTTTGCCACGATGCTTTTTTCTGAGCGCAGGAGATGAGATCATGTGTACGCAGCTGTCTGCTCAATAGCGCCATTGTTGCACTGCCACCGTCGCGGTGAGCGGCGCGGGTTTAATTTAATTCGCTATCGTGACGCCGCACCGGCAGATTTTAATCTGCAGCAGAGCGCAAACAGGTTACGGGGAAATGGGCCCCGTACTGACAGACGCGGGCACTTGCAGAGGCACGGAGAGACCAGAGGGACTGACGCATATGAAGAGGCAAAGATCGTGGCACATGTGGTGAGGTGCAGGGACAGACTAATGAAGAGAGACTGGAAAATGCATCCAGGACCGAAGCATAATTGTGGACGGAACACTAGAGGCACGGAAGTAAGAGTGAATAAATAGATAGACGGGGGAACGGACGGAACAACGGATGCGGACGGACAGACTGGGTAGAACATTGCATGGGTTGTCTTCCCAGCTTCTCCGATTTCCTCGCACAAAGCCAAACACTCGCCATTAATAATGTAATTGGTCAATCATCCCAGTATGGCAGGACCCTCCTGAAAAATGAGTCTCTGGACGAGCAAAGTTATTTTGTGCGTGGTTTTTATAAAGGCAAAACTTTTTGGATTTGTGCAGCGTTCGAATGTGGTCGCAGCTCAAGATGCTACGCCAAACAGTGGGCGCATGAATTTGTGTGACCTTTTCAAACCGTACATAGTCAACTCTGAAACAAACATGTAATTAGCATGGTCTTAGAATGCATCTGGTTTCTATCTGAGTCTTTGGGTCCTAATGTGAATAAAACTATAAACTAAACCATTTTTATTTACCAGCTAAAGCCCACCTGAGCTATGTAGATCTTTTTCAGAAGCGAACCTGGCCACAAAGGATGGTGCAACGAAGTGGCTTGTGGGAATTTATAGTGGCAGCCAAACACTCTCACGTATGTCTAAAATGTGGAGGGGGAAAAACCAGACGACCTGGATAGAAAAAAAAAATTCTGAGCGAGAGGCACGCACACTTGAAATCCACAATGGGTGTCTGAATCGAACCCACGACCTCTTGCATACCAAGTGAGGTAGTTATTACTCTTTGTTTTTTCGGTAAAGTCACGTAGGTAAAAAAAATGAAATTAAAATTTTTATTTCATTTTTTTACCTACGTGACTTTACCGAAAGAACTAAGAGTGAATCCTTGCAGTCACGAAAGCTTCAAATCTAGAGGTAGTTACTATCTCGCCACCGTGGCACTTATGGGAGAGGTGAGAGGGAAGCGGAGAAGAGCTCACGAACGCTTGGGCTTTCGGTAAGGGAGTGTACGACACGGTCAGCTGGGGGAAGGGAGAGATTCGGTGTGGGGGGGGGGGGGGGGTGGCGGAGAAGAATGGGTGGCGGCCCAATGGAGGGCTTCACCCGTCTCGACTCTGCTCCGATCTGTTTGAGAAATACAAAGGCGGTGTGCGGAGGAGCCTCTGCCAACGGGGAGTGGCATGGAGGGAGGAGTGTGAGGTGGGGGGCAATTGGAGGTTCGTGGGGGGGGGGTCAGGGGCATTGGGGGGGGGGGAACTTCTCGCACCAATCTCCACTTTCGCGCGACCTCCACGTCTCGGTTTTCAGCCGGGAACGCCAGGTGACAACGCATCGATGCACAACAACAGCACGGTGTACGTCGGCATTAATAGGTGCTCGCTCGCAGCACTGCAAGAGCATGACGTAGTGTGGTTTTGACCGGTGGTATCTATGGTGTGGGCAGTGGTGGTGTTCGTGGTGCCGAGGTTTGTGGATTGCGCGGTGTCCACCTTGCCTGGCACATCGCCCTGGTGACGTCGCCTCCACTGAATGGCGGTTGTGGTGGTATGCGTAGGGTCGGGGTCTCCGTGGTGTGTAAGGCAGGTAGCCCTGCGCGTGTGTGGTGGGGCAGTGTTTTAGTGCCAGCCACTACTTTTTTGTATCTTGTCTTTTCTATGGATCTGTGTTTGTCCATCTGTCTGCATCTGTACTTCCATGTACCATACCCGTATGTGCATACATATCCGCGTATCTTTTTAAGTAACCATTTGTGTCCATACGTGTGCGTCTGGTCCTGGGCCCCGCCTCGGTTTACTGGTGTGCTTGTCGTCAACATCGCCACTAGGGGGAAACAAAAGTGGCCAGGCGTGGTGCTGGCCACCCCCTCCCAACCCCATATGTCATGGCCTTCCGAGCTACTACTCGCTAACAGCACTTATCCCAGCAGTCCTGTTAAGGCTATACAGGGGGTCTATGTCTTTGTGTGCGTGCAGGCTGTGTCCACGCAGGCCCAGTGCCAGAAGCACAGGAGGAGGAGGAGAGGGCGGCACGTGACCATGCAACTGAGCGAGCGCGGGAGCGTGAGCAGCTGCTCAGGTGAAGCCCCTTTAGCCCCCGAAATGCATCGTCCGCTCCACCTCCTTCGCTCTCCAATGACACTCGTCCTGGGTGTAAACTGCCCTCGCTGCAGGAATATGGAGTTTCCATAACTTGCTCGGGACACTGTAGGAAATTAATGCAATCCCCCGACCCCCACCCACCATGGCACTATTGGTGCGTGTTGCTGTCTTTTTTGAAAGGTGAGGTTGTAATACAAGTAGTGGTGTGGGGTGACGAATGGAGTAAGCAACTTGGAGGTTGTGAACGGAACGTGGCATATCGGGATTGGTGTTGGCCAATGATTGAAGCGGGCAGTGTTCCCGATGCAAATGCCTGGCACACTGGGTAATCCCACGATTTAAGCAAACAGTTTAAAAGCAAAATTTGCGTACAGAATCTAAATGTTTACGATTTTGGGCAGAAAAAAAAATGCGTGACTTTAACCTTTTAACTTGATATTGAGCGTTTTGTAGTTCAAGGGTGGGCGATTTTGACGACTCTGAATCTCGTTTGTGCTCGTACCCCTCTGTGCTGGGGGGGTGGGGCGTCTCTGGGAACAGGGAGAACAAGGAGTTGGCAGAGTTTGCGCGCAGCCTCAGGCCTACCTCGTTCGCCGACCTGGACCCCAACCTCGTGGTGACCACTGGAGGGGGGGCTGCCCCCATCATGCACGCTGGCCAGTGGGGAGAGCTCAATGCGCCGCACGCTCACGTCGCCCCGCACCATTGGCTGCCGAGGACCGAAAGTCCCTCGCTTTGGCTCGGGGCACCACCCTACGGTGAGCGCTTCCACCCGTGGGCCCCGCCTTTTTCAGAGCCCATACTGTGCACTCCCTGCCCCTGTTCAAGTCCATGATTGAAGATCTTCCTCGTCTCAACTTCCTACGAGTGTGCCTCTCTCCCTCCCGTAGACTCTTTGACATGCATAGACCGATATACTCCCGCAGAAACTCGGACACACACAGATCTACCATTTCATCTTTTACATATGTGGGTCTATAGCTCTCTGAGTCTATGCTAGCATGTATAACTCCACATCGTACCTTGTTTTATGGACAGGCCTCGTAGACAATTATTTTAACCGTAGATGCCGGCTGCAGATTGACTGACTGCGTTTTGGCATAGGTAAATCACTGGTGCGTCCCTCCCCTTGCGTGTGTGCCCAGGCCTGGGTGGCTTCTCTCTCCACCAGAGTATGGCAGGAGCGTTCCCTCCCGGCCTGGCGGCGCCGCCTGCCACTCCGAACTACCAGCTTGCGCGTGACCCAGCCACGGGCCACCTCGTAGTGGTGCCCACCGACTTCCCCTCTCACTACGGTAGCATGGACACCTCCACATGCGGCCCTGCACGCACGCATACGCCCACACACCCACTATATCCCGAGGCTCGGTTTTGAGGCTGTCTGCTTAAGGTTTGGGCCTAGAGCAGGGGTGGGGAACGTCCGGCCCGCGGGCTGTATAAGGCCCGCGAAATCATTTGGTCTGGCACTGCCGAGGCAACCGCAGGCGGGACTCGAAATTCAATAAGTCTCGGAGAAAACCTGGAAAAGCAGTTCCGAGTAGCAACATCATCAATAGCAGCTAACATCACGCGCTTCACCAAAGAGAAGCAGTTCCAGCCATCGCATTAGGGGGGTGAGTTAATTAAATGCTTGACCAAATATAAAAGGCAAATTTTTAAGTTGATAATTTTGTATGGCCCGCGAATGATGTTATAAATATCTAAATGGCCCTTGGCAGAAAAAAGGTTCCCCGCCCCTGAACTAGAGCATCGCATCCACTAGGTCCCGTCGACCAGTGATAGGAGAACCCCTCCCTCCCACTGGGCTGCATACCAAGCAATCTCTCTCGGTGTGATCGCATGGTGCTCTACGAACCAAGCCCGTGACGGCTGATGTCCAGTGGCCAGCGCTGTCTGAAATGGTGCTGGGTCACCCACGTTAATCTCCTCCGCACTGACCAACGGGGTGAAGTATGGTCATATAGCCCTCGTAACCGGCACTGTATGCGTCCTTGTGATGACCCCGTTTCCCCTCTGCCAGCGGCAGAACTTCTGGAGCGAACGCCACCCCCGCTGTGGCCACCGCTGCTGGCAGGGGGGGCGCCCGCCCCCCACCACCACCACCCCCTGTCGCTCACCTACCAGACAATGCTGCGCCAGCATGAGCTGTACGTGGCTCATCAACAGGCCGCGGCAGCCAGCGCCCACGCCCATGCCCTGCAGCTGCAGCACACTCCGCACATGCAGGCGAGTGGCTGTGGGGAGTGGTACAGCAAGGTCGGGTATACCCCAAGTTTGTCGGCTGCTGAATATTTTTTCGAGTGCCGTGTGTGTTGCCTGTGTAATGTGAGGATATATCCGGGTTGTTGATGGATCGCACCTCGTTACGATGATTGGCTCTACCGGTCCTGGTCCATAGCCAATGGGGGGGAAGTCTAGGGGCATGGCCCTGACCTAATGGGAAGGTGACATCTGTAAGTAGAGGATTGGGTCTGCTGGCTTTAGCCACAGCCAATGGGGGGACGAGTCAGGGGTGCGGTCCTGGGAACATACATGGAGTCTAGAAGATTCCATAGAGGTTAACCAGGATTGGTGGAAAGGTACCACGTGACCCGGGTATTAAAAGGGGTGGAGACGGACAACACGTGGTCAGATCTGGAATGAACGGAGGGTGAGGCCACGCTGGAGCGGGGTCCAGGCTGCCACGTGGCCGCGCGTGTCTCTCTCTATCTCCCTCTCCCTCTCACGCTGTCTGTCAGCAGCGTGAAGGAGTAAGACAGGAGTGTTGTGAAAGAAAGACAAATAAAGACCGGATTCCAGAAGTCGCTTCCACGACCTTTATTACACCTGTAATAGGGGGAGCGGTAGGATGGTGGGATAGCGCAGCCAACATCGGTGACGGATAACTGAATCGGTCCTGGACTTCCCCGAGATCAACTCGACCATAAATTATTATCTGTATGCGATGTGTAATCATTATCTTGGGAGGCGTGGTGCTGGACATATTTTAAAAAACCAGCTCTTGGTATGCATTTGGGCTACTTTTGTATAAATGTCAGTACAACATTGCATTCCTAAATCTCGTGGCTTACCCCCCCCCCCCCCCTCGCAAAGCCCGACCTAAAAACCCGTGCGTTGTTCGACTGCACTCATAAAATCGGCAACAAAGCTGGCAAGTCACGTGACCACCGTCTCCATGTGCAGGACCACGGGAGGCCACCCCCAGAGCCGCCTCCGCTGCTGCTTTCCGACGAAAACGATCGCTCAACACCGGCGGTGCTGCCCAAGCAGAGCGCAGTCTCCCCGCCGCCCACGCTTCCCGGCACAAGCCCCTCCCACGCCGGCTCCCTTGCGCTGCCACCACCGCCGCCGCCCTTCCGGTGTAAATCCCCTCGACGCCCGGGGCCCCCTCCTGCCCTCGACCATGCAAAGCCCCCCAGTTTCCCGGACGACGCCGGGCCTCCCCCACGGCTGCGCCGGGAGGACGATGGCCAGGAGGCGCCTGCGCCACTCGGACGGCCGGGCTCCCTGTCCCCGCCGGCGCTGTCGCCACGGCAACTGCAGCCCGGCAACGCCGAGGCCGGAGAGAGGGTGGCCAGGGGTCGGAGGTCGCCGGCGCGGACTTGGAATATCCGGCGCCCCCGTTCGGTTCCACCGTTCCTGGACAAGCGACTTTCGGGAATGGCGCAGCAGCACACTGCGAAGCTGCACGATGCGCAGCAGCTGGACGTGGTGCACCAGCAGCTGCACGAATCGCAGCAGCAGCAGCAGCAGCACCACCACCACCATCATCGGCAGTATTTGGAGCGGCAGGAGCTGGAAAAGCACGACCAGTGGCAGCAGCTGGAAGAGCGGCAGCAGCTGGAAGAGCAGAAGCGGCTGGAAGGGCAGCAGCACCAAGAGCACGAGCAGGAGCGGCAGCTAAAAGAGCAGGACCTGCATCGGCGGCTGCAAGTGCATCGTGAGGAGCTGCAGGAGCAGCTGCGGCAGCGGCGTCTGGAAGCGCAGCAGCGACGGCTGGAGCGGCAGCTACATGAGCAGCTGCAAGAACGACAGCGGCATCGGCGGCTGCAAGAGCATCAGTATCAGCTGCACGAGCAGCAGCGGCTGCAGATGGAGAAGCTTTTGCTGCACGAGCAGCAAAAGCAGCACATGCGTCAACTGCAACAAATGCATCGGCAGCCGCAGGATGAGGTGGCGGCGTTTGGTTCTGGGAGGGGATTCCTGCTGCCCCCCTCTTCGGCGTCGTCGGGACTCCCGTGGCCTCCCCCTCTGTGCCGACACGGTGAGTCCGGTAGTCTGTCCGTGTGCTCGCGACTTTTCTGGTGGCCGTGGGTGGGGGATTTTACCCGGGTGTGGCGGCGGTGGAGGTGCAGTGCTTTGGAGACGAGGGTTGGTGGATCGTACAGATTTGTGAAACTTGCAAACTTCGTGCGCTGTGATAGCTGGAAGATAAGAGCACGACCAAGTAGACTTGTATGCCTGGAGGGATGATCACCCATACCCCAGTTTCTTTCCACGGGAAGCTAAACCTTACTTTAGAATAATAAAACAAGCCTGTTCTTTGAGCCTTTCCAGCATAAGTAATTAAGTAACTTTACTGTTGAAATCCCATTTCAAAGCTTTGTCATTTGGTCCCTTGAACAGATTATTTTGGACCTGCTGTCCCGCAGTGTGGAGTTTTTGTGCCGTCTTGTCTCCTCCTGGAGTTTTCTTCCCCGTGCCATTTCGGTAACCTCCTTAGCATCTCCCTTTCCCAGCAGACGGAGTCTCTGCATTCTCCCCTCCGCCAACCTGGACATCGCGGATCCTGCAGCCCATCGCCACCGAGACTGTGGCGCCAGAGTCGTGCCGGATGAAACGGAGGCCCCAGTCGGCAGAGCTGTCCTCCACCGTGCCAGAGTCGGAGTCATTCGGCGCCGAGAACGGTAACAACGACGTAAAAACTCCCGTATGGGAAGGCGATGTCACGGCAGGACGGCACGAGACGATGGAGCCAGACTCCACGGACGCCCCCGATCCCGCCGGACGCAACACCGATCTCCTCGTCTCCTCGACGTCATCGGTGGCAATGGCCGGCATCCTTGAACCGACACCGCGTCGTCGTCGTCGGCATCGTCACCGTCACCATCGCGATCTCCAGGATCCCCATCGGCGTTACGAGGAGGAGCAGCAGCAGGTGAGGCTGCTTGACGATGGAACACCAGGCCGTGCCGGGGTTACTCAGCCCGACCCAGGGCTCCCCGACAGCACTGCCGCTACACCGGCTGTGGAGGACCGGCTCGGCCCACTGCTGCCGCCGCCGCCCACCACCGTGGCTCGGCAAAACCAAGGCAACGACGCAGATGCTTGTGCGCCGCTGGAGACCCGCCCCGCCTGCACGGCACCGCTGTCGGAGGACCGCCCCGCCTGCACGTCGCCGGAGGCCCGCCCCGACTCGCCGCCGCCGGAGACCCGCCCCGCCTGCACGGCACCGCTGCCGGAGGCCCGCCCCGCCTGCACGTTGCCGTCGTCGCCGGAGACCCGCCCCACCTGCTCGTTGCCGCCGGAGGACCGCCCCGACTACTCGTCGCCGGAGGCCCGCCCCGCCTGCACGTCGTCGTCGTCGCCGCCGGAGACCCGCCCTGCCTGCTCGTCGTCGCCGCCGGAGACCCGCCCCGCCTGCACGTTGCCGTCGTCGTCGCCGCCGGAGACCCGCCCCGCCTGCACGTTGCCGTCGTCGTCGCCGCCGGAGACCCGCCCCGCCTGCACGTTGCCGTCGTCGTCGCCGCCGGAGACCCGCCCCGCCTGCACGTTGCCGTCGTCGCCGCCGGAGACCCGCCCCGCCTGCACGTTGCCGTCGTCGCCGCCGGAGGCCCGCCCCGCCTGCACGTCGCCGCCGCTGGAGACCCGCCCCGCCTGCACGTTGCCGCCACCGCCGGAGGCCCGCCCCGCCTGCTCGGGGCTGTGGGTGCTAGCGGAGGCGACGACTGTCGCCGAGCCCCTGCCTGTGCTGGTTGCCGCCCCCAACCGCAACGGAGCCGACGGCCAGTTGCCACCGGAGACAAAAGCGCGGTCCACGCCATGTGTGGCTGAGCAGTGGACGCGGGAGGGAGGGCTGGCACTGCTGGGGGAGATTGCTGGGGTGGAGCTGGGGGCGTTGGCAGAGGGCGGCTTCATGGGTGAGTGAGATGAGTTTGCAGTGGCGCTGCCTCCAGTCCATCTTGCTGATTCGCTGCTCCTGATTATTTTTCTTCTGCAGCTCTTGATCAAATTAGTAATTCGCCATCTTGCAGAATGCAAGCAACAACCGAAACAAGTGGACACCGTGTCCTCCACATATGTCTCTCCACAAGAAAATATAAATGTTGTACCTCGTCAGCTTGGGTGTCGCAGAGGATTATCTCCCTATAAAGTGTTGGGAGTTCCCCAGCATTGGCTCGAGCAAGCCTAAGCCTCTGCTGACGAGACACCAATGTTGAAACCATTCCAGAGTTGAGCTTGTGTTACTGACATTCTGCACTCCCAGGTGGCTGTACCTAATGGAATGCGTAAACAAACGCTTGTATTTAGTTCATGTATGGATTATTTGATCGCAGTTGTGGATCGATGGGCGCCAACTCGCGTCGCATCCGTGTGCCAGAACCATAGCGCGATAGCCGTCGGCTGCAACACGCCCAGAGCGCAAAGAAGCATGCTTGGCATTTGTACTGAGACCCAGAGGAATACGTGCGGGATTAGAGAATGCACACAGGTTACAGACATTGCTGACTGCTGAGAAAACTAAGTGGATTGGGCAGGACGCATCACGGATAGAAAGGAGTATGGCTTGGTGGCTGAGACTAATGACAGTGACTGCCAAATATAAGGTGCTCATAATAAAGGTGTTTGGGTCAGATCGCGTTATTTAGAAATGTGTCGTAACCCTCCACCACCCGACACGGCCAATCAGTAAGACAGTGTCACGTTGACAAAAGACAAATGGGTCACTATTTTAGCCCACCGGTGTGTTGAGTGAATCCACAACATTTACAATTTTTGAGTACGACGTTTCTCTGGTAATTACATCCAGCATCAGGCAATTTGTCGACACATTTCTAAATAACGCGATCTAACCCAAAAACCTTTTTATGAAATAATATTGGTCGCGAAAGCCTACGTGATACAAGGTGCTCGTCTGAAATGGAGACCACAGGTGCCAAATGGCTCTGTCCTTCGTCCAGCAGTGGATAGATCGTGGCTAATAGTGACGGTGGTACTGCCCCCAATTGTGCTGCAGGGCGGAGCGGGGGACTGGGTGACCTCTTGACCCTGTGCCGTGTGGCCGCGCTGCTGGCCTGTGCTGACGGCATCGCCACAGGAGACGGAGGCCCTGGGCCTCGGAGGCCCCAGCACCTCCTGGACCCCACGAAGCGCTGCAGCTGGCGGCGGCGACGCGGCGCGCCGGTGGGTGGGACATGCACGGCGCGTTGGCGTGCCCGTGCTGAGCTACGTGTGACAGTGCGGTGGCGTAGCGCTCGGTGCACCGCACCATGAACCCGTAATGATGGGTCCCCCCCCCCCCCCCATCGTATAATAAGCATTTCTCATTGGTCGCGAGAGCTCCCTGGGTTCACAGATTTGCCGGCAGCAATCCGACTGGCAATGTTCACGTGTGCTGCAGTCCTCGGTGTATCCGGTATGGGGCTCGTAGTGATGATGCGGTGTCCACAGCCGCTCTACGAGCTGGCAGACTGAGACGATTTGTGGACTGCGTCTCGCAGCATGCGTCGGGGTTACTAGAGTAGCCGATTTACAGTACCTGGAGAGACAAAGGTGGCCAGGTGTGCTACTGTCCACACCACCACCTCGTAGGCACTGCCCACTTAACAGCATTTGCCTCAATGGCCTGGAGGTAGGTAGGCGAGTGAAACGAGGTAAATTGGCGACGGTGAGGCACAGCAACCTACATATCGTACACGCTGGACCTTTGTGCGACACTTGCGTCCAGGCCTGCGGACGCCGCCGTGCGTTGCTGGAAGTCGAGGGGCCCCTGGAAGTGCAAATCCGGCGCCGTCTTGCCACGCTGCAGCGCCGCTACCGCCACCGGCAGCGCCAGCTCGCGCGCCTCGTCCCTGCACCCAGCCAGCCCACCAGCGAGTAGGTGTTGTCATGGTTACAGGGCGGCGGTGGTGGTGGAGGTCGCCCGACCCACTTTGTGGGGGAAGTAAAATTTGTTGCTGATACTCGTTGGTAGTGCTGCAAAAGCACAAATAATACTCGTTCATCAATAACACCTGGGCTTGAAAAAAAATAAAAGAATATAAATACAAACGGTGGTGTTTCAGGCCATGGCTCTACTTCATAGCACATGGGGCAAGTTGGCAGTGGTTGTCCTACGGAGAGCCTTGCCTCCGCCATCTGAATGTGGAATTTCCACCACTGGCTCGGCTGTGAATGGGAGATGAGCACCGTCTAGACTCTCGTTGAAGTAGGAGATCGCGTTGACGTTCTAGACTTGTCTGCAGTGGTGCCAAAATCCGGCATGTCGCTTCAGGTGCCACCTGCGGGAACCGGCCACTCCCCTTTCCCCGCTGGTGCCAAACCCGCCGAGGGACGTGGCCAGGGCTGTCGCCAGGGGGGGTGCAGAGAAGCCTCTCCACCGCCTGGTGGTGGAGGGGAGGAGGCTGGAGGCGGTGGTGGCTTTGGGAAGGAAGGTGGTGAAGGTGGAGCGCAGCCGAGGGGACAGAGGGGTGGACGTGGCAGACGAGCTGGACGAGGAGAGGGAGGATGAGGAGGACTACGAGGATGAGGAGGAGGAGGAGCGGGGCGAGGACGGCCTGGGCCCGGTGAAACGCGGCCGAGGGCGGCCCAGGAAGAGGAAGCGGTCGTCGCCATCGCCCCCTCCTCCGATTGGTCAACCGCTCATCGGGTGAGTGTGACGTGCACACGGCATCACGCGAGTGTTACGTGTGTGGGGCGGGTAGCGGTTTGTCAAGAGTAGATTCTTCGAATTCTCGCGATTTGTTTTGTATCGGCGGAAGCCATGTTTGGGGATGGACTAACGCTGCATTTCAATGAAGTGGTCCGCAGCGTACAGGACTTGCAATCTCGGTGGCCGGTACATCTCCAGGTGCGGCAGTTCAACCAATAGGGGGGGTTGGGGGGGGGGGGAAGAGTTTCACAAAGGCACTACCCCACACACACACACACCTGTTTACCCAGTGGTGTAAATGGTCTTGAGTATAAATTCTGTGGAGCTGCGGGGAGTAGAAGCCCTACCGCCACCAGTGGTGCAAGCGAACAACTTGCAGCACTGCACCTATTTCCCCCCCCCCTCCAGCCGGGGTGAGGAGCGCATACGAGCGCTCTTGGCCAAGAAGAAGAAAAAGAAGAAAAGGCGGAGTGGCGACTGTGCACCCCCCAGCAGGAGGAGCCAAGTTCGCCTCCTGCCCAGGGTCGCCCTGCGACCCACGTCCCCAAATCACACGGTCAGAAACCCCCCCCCCCCCCCCCCCCCCCCCCCCCCCCCCCCCCACCCATCGTGTCTGCCGTGTCACTGCCGCACGTCACATTTGTGAACGCGACTTGCGTGACGATGTTTTCTGGTTTGTCGCGCTCTTCCTCAGGCCGCGCCCTGCACACGTGCACCCCTTGTCCCCGCGCGGCACCGTCACTCCAACCGCTCGCCGGCGCCGTCTGGCCGCTCCCGCGCCACTCCACCGGCACTCCCGGCGGCAGCGCCGCCACTCGGCGTCTCGCTCTCCTGCAAGCGCCCCATGCTCGGCAAGCCGCCGCGTCCTGCCGCGGGCCACGAGCGCGCTGGCGCCAAGCTCTCGCGGTCCGGCGTGCGACACCGCGGGGCTCCGAGCCCGGAGGTGGCGCGCGTGGGCAACCAGGATGGCGCACGGGCAGCAGCGTCACGCGCTATTGCTTTGCACCGGTCTGACAGCAGCAGCTTCTCCTGCTGTGAGTCTTTCTCGCGTTCCCTCGTTCTCTCTCTCGCGTTCTCTCTCTCTCGCGCTCCCTCGTTCTCTCTCGCTCTCTCTCTCGCGCTCTTTGGCACATGCAGACAGAGCGGTGGTCTCTGTGTGGCGCAGGCCTCTCCGACTCGGACCCGGACATCGACGAGCGCCGCTCCGCACCTGCCTGGCCTCCGCACCCCGGGGCCGCCGGGGGGGCCGCCTTCAAGACGCCCACACCGCGGCAGAGGCCTCCTCAGAGGCCCTCTCAGCGGCGGCCCCAGGGGATGACACCGGCGGTGCCGCCCGGTAGCTCCGGGGCCCCTCGGGCCCTTGGGCCACGGGGTCCCGCACGCGAACACGGCCTCTCGTCGGGGCCGCAGTGTTCGGACAGCGAGGGGCCCGTGGACTACTGCCGCTCGGCAGCAGCAGGTTCCCAAAACCTCCACGAGACTCTCTGAGAATGGGGCGGGGGGGGGGGAGCGAGGTCTGTGTGTCTAGTCGTGTTTGGTGTGCGTGTGGATGTTGGGTACTGTGCGTGTGGGGGGAGTGTTTCTGGGAGGTATAGAGTTGTGTCGGGTGTGAGCATTAAAGCTGTCCAGGGGAACTTCGTTTTTGGTGTGAGCGTGTCGGTGTGCCAGGAATGTGTAAAATGTATGGCTGGTGTCAGGGAGTGAGGTAGACGGGAGGTGTGGAATGTACTTGCGTGTTGGTTGTCTGGATCAGAGAATGTGAGCCGATGTCAGACGTATAAGTGTGGTGTCGTGTGCTTTTTGTGGTGTTTGATAATGTGTGTGACTGGGAAATGCACGTGGTTGTGTGCTGGTTTGAGTTTTTTAGTATGACCATTCTGTGTATGTGGGGCAATGTCACTGTATGTGTCTGCGCGTACATGTGTGTGTGCATGCGTGATGGGCCTCTCCTGAGAGGGTAGGAGACTCCTGTGTGTGGTACGGTGTGGAGCAGGATGATGCAGCGTGCCACAACCGGCCTTTGATAATCAAAGCTTCTCACCACCTTGCTTCCCCCCCCCCTTCGCAATGGACTTGGCAACATTTTAACATCGCAAAGCCACATTGGGTATTTAACCTTCGCCTCGCGGGCCATCTTGACTTGAAGACTGAGCTTAAGATGCCGTCTTTTGGTAAATCTCCGGTGGAAGTCGGCAGATTGTGTGGTTTTAGTTTTTAGGAGAGCTCAAGGGAAATTGGCGATGGGCTCAAATCCAGCTCTGGGTGTCTGTTTGGGAGCCCCTGTTTTTCTCGATAAAATTTCTCCTTGGCCAATCAGGTAATTTTTTTAACCTTTTTTAACCTACCCACAATGCCATGTGCCTCGTCCCACAACCCCCTCCCCTGTTCTGTGTCCAGAATTGCTGCCGATTTCCCCCCCCCCCCCCCCCCCCCCGCGTTTGTTTTTTGAAAAATAAAAATCGATCGCCTTGATCGTCGTCATTTGTAAGCGATATGGGGTGGGGGGGTGCACGGATGCCGAGTAATTTCTTCCGCTGTCACGGACCGCTCTCCAATGAACGCAACATCCTTCTGCTTCCTCGCATGGCAATAAAGCTCCTTTCCCTGAAACGTGGCTGCACAGCACCGACCTTGCCCTGACCTTGCGGTTGGGTCACCGTCGCAGGCATGGCGCGCTCTGTCCTGTGATACCGCGTCCCCCCCCCCCCCCCTTGCTTGTGTCGACTGACTGCTGATTGGCGTGCGGTCTCCCACTTCCCCCGGGCGTGATCGGATGACTCGTCGGGATTCGGCGTTTGTTTAAAATGTGAGGATGGCTTTTTGTCTTCGTCTCATTTTTGTGTTGCTTCTCGATTTTTGGTCCACGTCGCCCACCCGCACTGTCTGCTCGAACGCGCAAGCGTGCGAGTTTGCACTGCAGTAGCAGCAGCGAATGAGTTGGCAGTGCGAGTGTGAGAATCGCTTTTTCTAATCGGCGAATCTGTTTTCTGCCTGGAAACGATTCGACATGCAGCAAGTCGCCCCCGTGGCGATTCAATTCAGGAATTGATTATGCATTTATCTCTTAACTCGATGGGACCCGTTTAAATATCACAAGCTCTGTAATCGCCTCCCTGCACACACTATAACGGGGGTGGGACCCCAATGCCCTCCATCCACTCGACAGGCCGAACCATGAGCAGATGAGTTGATCTGGGTTGATGTTTAGACACCCGATTATCGTGTGGCCTGTAGGGTGTGGTGCGTTTGTGTGGGGAGCTGTGGATGCGTGGTGCAGTGCATGCTTGCATGCCCTCTGCACGTTCATGCGCGCACAAACATGCACACTTAAATTTACGTGCGCACCTAAAACGCATGCACCATCTGAAGATGTGTGACATGCACGCATCCACACACACGCTTGCATGCACTCTCGCTTCCACTAACCGGTCCGTACGTGGCTCATCCAAATCTTCTACACTCCACAAAGCGGCATCGGTGCTGCCGATGTCACCAGAGAATGCGAGCCAATATGCCAACGCTCTCGACAACACGCGTCTTCCTCCAGGAAGATTCCACCGGTCGCCGTGCCGGGTTGGATTCGCGCCGCAGACGATGGCCGCAGCCTGCGGTGATGAACGCCGAGTGGTGCCGCCGATTTTTTAATTCTGGCAAAACGATTGATTTGCAGCCAAAGAACATTATCTGCCAACACGATTAATTCTGCCAACTTATTAAATACTTGACCAAACAATTGATTTGGACGTGTCATCAAGCGATTAGTTCCGCCAATCGGAGCGATCGTGGTAGATGACCCCCCCCCCCCCCCCCGCCCGCCCGCACCGGAGGTTTGGTGTGGCGGCAGGGAGTGGAGTTTGGGGAGCCATGGCTCTAACCGCTTCGCTAACACTGCCCTCTCCCCAGCCCTGCCCCCTCCTTCCCCAGCTGTGCCCTATGACCTACTGACCTCTGACCCCTGCGACGCTTGGCTGGTGCGTGGCTGTGAGGTCGGCGTGAACTGCACAGTGTAGGTTTAACCCCTCGCCTCGTTTTGCTGATCGATTGGTTTTGAACGGCATCTCTTCGTTAATTAACGGTGGCGCTAAAATGATGTGGGGTGGGAGGGGGGGCGTGTAGCTGTGGACGAACCCGACCGCCCAAGTTCAATTCCCAGACATAATTAACGTCGGTGGCGAGCAATATGTGAACTGGTCCTGGGCTCCCCCTCCCCCACCCCTCGACCATTGAAGAGAACACTGATAATAATGATACAATGTGTACGTGTTTTGCGTTGTTGTAGAATTGTTGGGTGAAGTGCTCCGTGATTTTAACGCAACGTGGAGCACGTAAAATGTGACCCTTGGCACAAATGTTTTTGGGGATGAATCGGCAGTGGCTCTGCGGATGATGCTGATACTCGACGTGCAGCGATCCCTGCGCTCGGAACTCGAGGCGTCTGTCCGTGTGTAGAAAATCAATGAGCTGCCTGTAATCTGCTTGAGTGGCCCCTGCACCCACCACAACGTCAATCTATTCTGGAGTCAAGCGATGAAACCTGAGGGGAGTGGGCCATGACATGACGAATCCTTATCCATGGCGGCCGGCGAGACGTTAGCTGCCCATGTCTGGGCTTAAAGTCGTACCTGTGTGTCCATGTGTGCTAGTCTGTATGCCTGTCTGTCATAGACACACGTGTGCCTGTACCTAATGTACACTTGTGTCTCCACGGGCCTGTGCACCCATTGGTGCCCTGTGCACCGCTGTATGCCCGATGTGTGCACGCGTCCGTTTGTCGACGTGTACGTGTGTGCATTTCTGATCTCCTCCCCAGGCTGGACCTTCGAGGATGAGGACCACGTGAATGACGGCGATGACGACGACGATGACGACGATGAGAATGTTGGGGGCGGCGGCGGCAGCAGCAGCAGATTGGTGCCAGGCAGGCGGGGGGCGCCGTTCCGACTGGCAGCACCGCCAGGGTTGACTCTGCTCTCTCCGTTCTCCGGGGGCGCCGGCTCCCGCCCCCGCCCCCCGAGATCTGCCCCCCGAGGGCCGGGCCCACACGTTCTGGCAGCCCGGCACGCAGCGCCCGCCAAACTCAAGAGGAGGACCATGGTGCTGCTTGGTAAGTGCACCCCCTGCACAGACGGGACACTGCGGGCGCCACCGCCACACGAGTTGGTCTCCCGCTGCCCACCCCAAGACTCGGCACTGCCTCCCCACCCCTTACCTCTGTTCGATTCCTCCAGCTTTCCCCGCTCCTCTCCATTCTCTGAATAAGAGATTCCTCCAGTCTAAATAAAGATTCTGATCTTCTGCAGGCTTCGATCTCGCCACAGACTTCCGGATGAAGCGATCGTCTCCTGCTGCGACAAACAGGGCCTACGTGGGGGTGGGTGGCCCTCCGCGCGGCCGGGGAGGGGGCGCCGTCACGGGGACCGCCGCTGTGCCGGGCGGCCTCGGCACGGCGCGACCCGCCGGGGGAGTGCCGAGCCGCGCTGTGCCCTGGAAGGCCGCTCCGGCCCGAGCCAAGCTCCCGGGCCGCCCCCATCTCAACGGCGCCGGCAGGATCTGCGCCCGGGGGACCGCGGCCGTGAAGAACGTGGGTCGCGATGGCGACAAGGATCGGGAGGAGGACGAGGACGACGACGACGGGTCCGTATTTGTGAGCCCGCCGAGAAGTTCTGCCGGGAGGCCCGGACGTCCCCCGCTGGGTCGCTCGCAGTCGCTGCCGCTGGGCACGGGACCCGGGACTGGTGGCGCCGGTGTGAGGAAGGGGCGGCCGTGCAAAAGTGGCGGTGGCGGCGGTCACAGCGGGAGCTGCAGTCAGCCGGAGAGGGACGGCAACAAGGTAGGGGGAGCGCGACGGCGGCGCTGCTGTGGTCTGTGAACGCTGCACCGGGGTGCCCAGCCATGGAACACAACGATCGTATAGCACGGGGTGGGGGGGGGGGTGGAGGGCCATAGAGCGTCTGCATGTGGCCGGGTCTCTAAGTGCCATACATAAACGGTCGTCGCGTTTTGTTCGTGGACCAGAAGAGGGCAGTCATCCAGGAGAAGAGAGGCTGCCACTCCCGTGTCGTCTCGCTTGCGCTGCCTGTGCAGAGCGGCGGCGTTGACGCTCGCTCCGTTTTAAATTGGTGGCTGCGCCCCGAGCTCTTGCCACGAGCGTTTGCGCCGTCCGGCAGCCGTGCTTGAGTTTGCATGTTGTCGCTCGCGTCACCGTTAATTTGCGACCGTTCTTTCCGTCCGATTCCTTGTCGCAGAAAAATAAGGCGAAAGTGGCGGACGCCTACGGGGTGTTGGTGAAGGGCCCGATTGCCGTGGCGTCGGTGGGCAGTCCAGGCCGCAGTCGAAGTCGGAGCCTACAGGGCCCGATAGGACGAGTAAGCAACGCATAACAACACCACCGATCACCCCCACCCCCAGTACAGCCTTGAACAGACTGTTGGGGCAAATTTCGTCATCGAGCACCCGTTAAAGCCGGCATATAAAGGGGTCTGTGGTCAATATCATTCCTGGCCACCTTTGTGTCCTCAGTGCTGCTGTTTACACACTGCACCAGATACTCATTTAAAGCGGAGTTGACTTTGGAGATGCCCAGAACTGGTGCACTTATTTGCTACCGATGTTGGTGGCTGTGGGCAAGAATCGAACGTTGGTCGCCGGGTTCGTAGCACGGCACGCTAACGGGCACATGCACGCAGGGGTTCACGTAAGCTTTCGAATGACGCGTCATATTGCAGCGTATGCTGTAGGTCGTGCCGCCCTACAGCGCTTGCCCCAACAGCGTGTTCGGGCTATGCGGGGGATCTTGATCTTGTGTCTCGCTGGCTCCCCTAGGCTCGCCCGCGGCCTGTGAGCCGCCTGCTCAGCAGCTTCCAGGCGGACGTGGATTTCTCCCAGAACAGCTCGTTCTCCGAGGGGGAGGGGGGCAGGGTCCCTGAGCCCAGCGCCACACCAGGTAACATTATGGGGAGGGATGGGGGGGGGGTTCCACTCGTCTGCCCGCCCGCCCGCCTGTGGACCCGGCCTTTGTTTCACAAGGCTGGGGTGGGGGACGGGCACAGTCTGTAAGCAGGATTTGGGTGGAGCCGCACGTATCTCTGTGACGTTAGTTCAGAAAGACTGTTTTTGCGTAGAGGAGCTGTAGCAGAGAGGGGCAAGACCGCTGAGCTGTAGCCGAGGGATGTCGAATGTTCGTTTGGCATCGCTGTGATCGCAATGAGCCTCAGGCACCTGCCCTGGCTCGGAGTAGCCACACAGATGATGCTGCTGCTGCTGCTTGCAGCCACTTTCCACTTACGACCTCCGTCCACCCAGCAGACATCTCCAGTCATCTCCAGTCGCTTGGCGAACTCGCGCGCGTGTGGTTGGGAGCACTCACTGTAACCCTCATTTGTGCCCTCTGACCTTGGTCCACCCTCTGAACCCCCTCGCCCCACGCTTGCCCCGTGTCAGCGCCAGCACCGCGCTCGTGCGTGCTGGACAAGGACGAGCTGTCGGAGGGCCTGCGCGTCCTCATCCCCAAGCCCGACAAGCTGCTCTACGCGGGGCACGTGCAGATCCTGCACCCGCCCGACGTGTACGCGCCCGCACCGCCCGCACCCATGCAGCCGTGGTGCCACCACAAACATTGCCACCGCCACCAAACACTTGGCGCAACCGGCGCAAGGGCATCACAAAAGCAACCGCCAGAAACTCCTGCTGATAATACCACCATCGCCGACACCGCCAGCAGCACCACAAGTGCCACCGCAACTTAGCACCCGCTGTGCGCGCGTGTTGCCGCAGGTACGGTGTGGTGATCGAGGGGGAGCGTGGGAACCGCCCGAGGATCTACTCACTCGAGCAGCTCCTACAGGAGGCGGTGAGTAGTACCGCAACACCGCTATGCTCACCGTGATATACAGCTACAGTGATGCTGGGACACGCGCCACATGATGTGGTGGGGCGGCGATGATTGCTTCCCCGTTTCCTTCTCTCCCTACGTCTCCTGTTCCTGCGTCCACTCTGTCCCCGTGTCTCGTGTTTAGATCGTGGACGTGAAGCCGCCCTCCTCGCGCTGTCTCCCACCCGACACGCGCGTCTGTGCCTACTGGAGCCAGCAGCACCGGTGCCTCTACCCGGGCACCGTCACCAGGGGTGAGCAAGGGTGGGACGAGCGTGACGACGTGTGTGAGATCCAGAGTGGATGTGGGAAGTGACCGAGTTTTGTCTGCGACGGGGCCACCGCTGGGTTCGAGTCCAACCGGCGGCCGCCTGTGGTTACCTGGGTTCTCCAGCGGAGCTAGTCGACGGGCCTGGCAGCCAAAGCTTGCTACAAACCAAACCATAGCATTCAATTTTGTTTTGAACTTTAGTTTAATTACGGACGTCGATTTGGCAGTCGTGCGACCAAACCGAGCCGTCCGTAGTGAGGCGGTTGGGACAATGCTGCCTCTCCTGTGCCTACCAGAGGTCAGAAATGTGACGGATCTCACGGATCTGCAAGATTTTTGGGTGGATTCTTAGTATCGTGAGGACGCGAAACAGATCGCCCAATTGGGATCACATCATGGGGAGAAAAGACAAATGAGTGACTGCAGCAGAACCCCCTGTCCGACACGTTCGGCTGTGGAATACGATTCGCAAGAGCAGGAGGACTCGGTGCCAGCCTCGCCGATTTCGTTCGCAAGCGTGTTTTGTTTAATTGCCGTGCCGTCGTTTTGGCGCTTGGCAGATGGCTCGAGCAGCGACGAGGAGGACGATGAGGAGGAGGAGGAACGCGCCTTCGTGACGGTCGAGTTTGACGATGGCGACACGGGGAAGATTCCGATCTCGCACATCCGCCTCCTTCCGCCCGACTACACCATCCAGTGTGAGTACCACTGACACGCTTCCGGGAAACTCAACCAGGACACATGGTGAGCTGGAAAGCCATGCCCCGTCTTCGCAGCCTACTTTCATACAGCCACACGCCCACTCTGCCACGAGCACCACCCTCTGCTTGATTAGCTCCGCCCTCTTACCATGTTTATGAGGTCTGGCACAAGGCAAGAGCATTGCAAAATGGTGACAAACTCCGCTTTGATAAAAGCTTCGGAGAGACACTAAAACGTAGGGACCTGGCCAATTCGGGATGTATGGTAGCTGGAATTTCTCGCCGGTTTTGGTTCAGATTTTTGTCCCTGGTTTTGACTGTAATGATACGAGCGCCAGCGCATGTATCCCACCTGCCCCCCCCCCTATCCCCACCTCCCCCTCCGAATCCCCGCGCAGGTGCCGAGGCCTCGCCAGCACTACTCGTCCCAACCGCCGTCGTACGCCGCCCACGCAAGCCGTCTGGTGACACAAGGGAAGGGGGCGGTCCGGCAATCTGCCAGCCGGCCAATCAGCACGGCCCCCAGCGCAGGGGCAAAGGTCGCGCCAGTGTGGAGCCTTCCTCCCCGCCCGCCACAGCCCCCACCCCAACCCCTGCCCCCATTCTGGTCCCCACAGTGGGGCCCCCCGGGGAGCCGCCACCCAGCAAGGTGAAAGGTCGTGGACGGCCTCCTGGCAAGGTGCCAACCGGTGAGTATTTCATATTTATATTTGAGGCTGAAATAGATTCCATGTGATTTCATCGGCAGGGCGGTGGATTCCGCAGGATTTAGTAAAGCTTCTGATCATGCTCTCTTAGAAGAAGCACAGCGGCTCCCTCCAGGATGGAAAAACTAAAATCCCATAAATGCGACCGAGCGCCAGCTTGAGTTGACTCCAGTTGGCTTTCCATAGAAACAAAATGTTAGCCAACTTGCAGTAGCCCACGAAGGTATATCGTCTCTCAGTTTGCTCAAACTAATGTCTGTCTTATTATTGCAGTGATCCTAACACGTCCACCCATGTGAGTAACAAACCTGACCAAAAGGCAAGATAACGAACGTGGGCTGTGTCTGCAAACGAGGCGTCACTCATCACAGAAACGATGCCCGTGCCGATTCTCATCCCCAGAGGGCGGAGTGGCTGGGAGTGGCGACGCGAGGCCCACCGACTCGCCGCCTGACGACGCGCCGACTGGCTCGGAGCCTCGGGAGAAGCGGCCGCCCCCTGCAGGGGCCCATGGGGCCCGCGGTGCTGTCCCCCGGCCCCGCGCGGACCCCGACCGTCGGCGGGGCCCACCGCTCCGACCCGCCGGCCCTCCCGGCCGGGCCCCCCTCTCGCCCACGTCCTTGTTCGGGGCTTCGCTCTCCGTGGACACCTTCGAGAGTCTCACCGCCGGCGCCTTCTCGGTGTACCTTGGCGGCGGCGGCGGAATTCGCGGCGGCCGCGGCGGGAGCGGTCGTGCCGAAGGCGGCGGTGCCGGCTCCGCCGTAGGGCGTCCCGGTGCTTGCCGACGTGCCCGGCGGGGCACAGACGAGGAGCCGCTGGTGAAGTTGGACCACGAGGGCGTCACGTCGCCCAAGAGCAAGAAGACCAAGGCCATGATGATGATGATGACGACGACGGCAGTGGCGGTCGGCAGCGACGGAGGTGCGCAGCGGTTTGCCAGCGGCGTGCGGCTAGCAGCGCCGTCCACCTCGTCTGGCGCTAGCGGAGGACGCCCGCGCCTTGGCCCAATCAGGAAAGCCTCGCCTGCGCAAAAGCCACAGCCGATGGTCACTGTTCCCACCGCCACTGCCGGCAGGGATAATGTTGTTGCCACCTCCGTTCCCGCTGCTGCCGCCGCTACCACCGGCACCACCGCCAGGGCTCCGAGGCCTGGTGATGCCGGCAGTGGTGCTGGCGGCGCTGGCGGCAGTGGCGCTGGTGGCGGCGCTGGCGGTAGTGGCGCTGTTGGCGGCAGTGGTGTTTGCCCAAAGAGTGGTCGGAAGGCGGAGGACTGGAAGGAAATCTCGAGGACGGAGGAAAGCGAGCTGAGCAGCAGCTCCGAGTCTGATTCGGGCGCAAGCCAGGCTGGCGCGACGTCCGCTCGGAAACACAAGCCCGGAGCCAAGCGCTGCTCGCACTCCTCCTCCTCCAGCTCCTCCTCGTCGTCAACATCGTCGTCAACGTCGTCGTCGTCGTCATCGACCTCGTCCGCCGGCGACTCGTCTCGCTCCACTGCCACCTCGTCGTCATCCGAGGAGGACTCTTCCTACAGCTCCGGCGAGGAGGTGGAGGAAGCGGAGGAGGTTGAGGAAATGGAGGAGGTGAAAGAAGGTGGCAATGTCCAGCCCAGCCCTCCCACTCTTCCCCAGGTGGCACAGGCAGCCGAGGTCCAAGCTTCGGCACCAGTACGGGCCCAAACACTGGCCAAGGTTTCGGCTGGTGGTGGTGGCAAAGGCGTAGGCGGTGGTGGGGGTAATGGTGGTGGTGGTGGTGGTGGCGGGGGCTACAGTGGTGGCAATGGTGGGGGTGCCGATGGTGGTGGCAGTGGAGCTGGTGGTGGTAGTGGTGGCTCCATTGGTGGCGACGGTGGCGGTGGCACCGGCAGCAGTGGCTCTGGCAGTGGTGGCGGTGGCACCGGCAGCAGTGGCTCTGGCAGTGGTGCTGGTGGCGCCGGCGGTCCTGGTGGCAGTGGCAGTGGTGGGTCTGGAGGGGGCGGTGGTGGTGGTGGTGGTGGCAGTAGTGGCACTGGTGATGGTGGTGGTGGTGGTGGCGGCTCCGGTGATCGGGGGGGCGGCCGGGCCCGGGGCCGTCGGCGCGAGGGAGTGCACCTCCCTACCACCAAGGAGCTGGTGAAGCGCCAGCGGCTGCCATCCGTGGAGAACCGGCCCAAGATCTCGGCCTTCCTGCCCGCACGCCAACTGTGGAAGTGGTCCGGGAAGCCGACCCAGGTGAGCGCCGGTGTTGGCGGTCTCGCGGCGCCGCCGTCCACGCCGCGTGCTTCGTTGCGTATCGTCGTGCCACGTCACTCACGTGTGCGTCTGTATGTATGTTGAACTTGTTTCGCACCGTACGTAGCCAACCGTGCTAATTGGAGGTGTATCTCCGTGCTTCCCCCAGCGGCGTGGGCTCAAGGGCAAGGCACGCAAGCTGTTCTACAAGGCGGTGGTGCGCGGCAAGGAGACGATCCGCGTGGGCGACAGCGCGGTCTTCCTGTCGGCCGGGAGGCCCAACCTGCCCTACATAGGCCGCATCCAGAGCCTGTGGGAGTCGTGGGGCAGCCACATGGTGGTGCGCGTCAAGTGGTTCTACCACCCCGAGGAGACCAAGTTGGGCACACGACACCGCGACGGCAAGGTAGGGGGCGCGCGCCACAACTACGGGGGGCACTGCACTCCTGCAGTCACCAAGGCACGTGTACCCGCGTGCGTGCGTGCTTGTGTCGCATGGGCTATATGGAGGGGGGGGGTCTTTGTCGTTGTGTGTGGTGTGGAGCAGCAAGCCTTGTACCAGTCGTCGCACCTGGACGAGAACGACGTTCAGACCATCTCGCACCGCTGCCTCGTGGTGGCGCACGAGCAGTACGCCCAGATGGTGCTCACCAAGCGCTACCAGAACAGCGAGGACCTCTACTACCTGGCCGGCTCCTACGACCCCACCACCGGCATGGTGCTCAACCCCGACGGCGTGCCCGTCATCTGCTGACAGGCCCGGCGATGGCGGCGGAGGCCACGAGTGGCGGCGGTGGCTACGATTGGCGGCGGTGGCTGCGGCGGCGATGGCAACGACGCCACCGGTGGCGGCGCAGTGGATTTGTAGTCGGGCACGCCCAGCGGCCCCTTCCCCGCGATGCCCGCTCTCGCTGTCCCTTCGTGGCTCGTGCCACCACTGCTCCGCTGCCACTTGCGGCATCGACCGGCGCGGTCCGGAAACGGCAAATGCAGCGTGGGACTGCGTCTGCGTCTGCGACTGCGAGACGTGGTGCCGGTGGTGCCGTACGTGCGTGTGGAAGCCCGGCAGGGCGATACGGAGTGTGCGTGGGGGGGCGATGCCCATCCACCCACGGGTGACGATAGCTACGTCGTTGCCAACAGGGCCCTTGCACGGGGCCCCCAGTGAGCCATCCCCCTTCCCCCCCCACTGGTCACGTCTCTGCGAGGTTGGAGCCGCGTGCGGGTGTGAAACGACGCTTGCTCGTTGCGCCGCGTTCGTCTCGCCTGGGGGCCTTTGGTGGTGGAAGGGGGGGCAGCAGGAAGGGTCCAGAGACCCCCCCCCCCTTTCCACAGGCTCGGGGTCCCCACACCCCCTCTCTAGCCGAAATGATTGTGAGAGCGGCAGTGGTGGGGGAAGAGGGTCGTGGTCACCGTTGATGATGGTGATGAGCCGAGCCGGCTGCTGCGTGACTTGAAGAAGTGAGCGAGTGGTGGAATGCGGTTAGCGAAGGGGGGGTACCGAGTGTGCGAGTGGTTGGGTTGCTGGATAAGTAGGTGGGCGGTTGAATTAATTTGATTGGGTGAGTGATTGCGTGGGTGTGCCTGTACGAACGATGAGAGAGAGAGAACGTGGTTGGGTGAGTAGCTGGGTGTGAGTGAGCGAGGTAGACGAGTGAGATGTCTCGGAGGGAGTAAGAGAACCCTTCAATAGCTTTAGTGGACCAGACAAGCGAATGAGATACTTGTACCAGCAAATATGATCGTATTTGATTTAGTTTTTAAATTTCTCGCAGTCAGGGTGGAACACATGAGCAAGCAGGCATGTGTGTGGCCTTGTATATATACACGTATATAGAGCACTTAAACCACACACACACACACACGTGTACTTGCACGCCCTCCTTCAAGGATGCCTCAAACCTTGTCTCACGTCAGCAGAGGTGGCGGCACCTTCATTGACGTGGAAGTTGGAGCAGGAAGGTCCTGTGTGGAGTTTGGGTAACGTTTGCTCAGACTGTACTTTGAATAGAGCCATCAATGCTGGCATTTATCCTCGATGGTTTCTGCAAGATGGTGGTGGCGAAGGACGATGATGGTGATGGAGGTCATGGGGATGGGATGATGATGGAGCACACATTGACGATGTGACTCGCCATCCTAAAGCCCCCCCCACGCATCTCTACAGGGGTTGAAGCTGCTGAACGTGATGACGATGGTAGTCCACAATTAGCAATGTAACCACCTTTTTTTAATTTTACCTTTTTACAATATAAACAATATTATCGTGGTGTTACTGTAATAGGTAGCAGTAAACGGTCTGCGAAGGTATTTACGCAAATAATGTTTAAGTCCGTGTCATAATTCCAGTATAACGATCGCTAAGATAATTTGCGCGAATGTATTCACACTAGCGGATAGGACGCCGCCGCAAGTGTTAAGCTAACGGTACACGTGTACTGTCTGTGTACTGCATTTTTATATATATATATAATCTCATAGATGTATATACGTCCAAGTACTCAAGTTTATTTTGTTTTAACCAGGTGAGAACTCGAAGAGACCGGGGGTAGGAGAGTCTCCATTTGGCGCAAGAGTGAAGCTGGAGGTGGCATTAGTCCACTGCGTGTGGCATCCCACTTGATGAAATTTGCGGTGTCACTTTTTTTCGAATTCGGAAAAAAAAATTGATGGCGTGCGCGCCCGCAGCAGTAATTGTGGCGGCCGCTGGGTCGCCACCGCTGGGTTACCGCTGGAGGCCGCCCCCCGTTCTGTGAGGCCCACGTTCCCAGGGAAGCGGCAGCAGCTGTAATGGTTTAGTTTGCCCCTATCGTTGTTTAGCGCAGGGCAGTCTCGCGACACTTTATCAAGTGGGCCCTTGCCCTAAAACGTTTCGCCAACTACCCCCCCCCCCCCTCCCTTGAGAGCGAGTGTGCCGCTGGTGGCGAATTTTGCGTATCGGAGGAAAAGGCCCCAAGACCCCGGAGAAACCCCTCTGTGTGCGAGGGGATGGTTCCTAAAAAGTCAGGGCAGTCCTGCTGTGTGCACGTGCTGTAGGGGTGTGCACCGCCTACTTGGCTGTCCCCGTTCCCACCCATCCGAGGCTGCCCTCGGGTCAGGTTCACGGCCTTGGATTCCTCCGCGGCCGCGGGTCACGTGGGGTAGCAGAAGAGAACAAATGGGAGCAATGTAAATTGGGAGTGTTTGGGGGAGCATGTGGAAACAGTGCGAACATGGGAGTAGTAATCTCCCACCCCGGGGGAGCGGAGAGGTACCCAGTGATGAGATTGTTTATGTGACGATGACGATGATTACGATGTTGATATTGTTTTTTTTCCTTGTGCCCTGAGACCAAAAGAATGTAAAATGAGGATGTGAGTTGGAGGGGGGGGGGGGAAGATGGGGAGGGTGAGTTCTGCAAGGTGTTTCTGGTGCGACTCATTCACGAATGAATTAATGCTGCACAATCTGTCATCCTCGTCTCCCTCCCCACTCGCCCGTCTCGGAGCCGTGCGGTACCTGTGCCAGGCTAGGTGTCCTCTCGCTCACCTGCTCGACTGCAGGGTTCCTCCAACTCCCACTCCTTGCGTGCCCCATCACGGTCCGGTTTCCACGTTCACCGAACTAGACTCTTCTCGATTACAAACCCAAGACGATGCAAGCGATATATTGCGCCTGATGATTGCTGAACACTTTCCACGTTGGTGCTCGTTCTAATTGATGTTAAGTAGACAACTCCTAACCGATATCTGCCCTTGCACATTAAAAAAATCCCATCGGCTAAACGGCCTACTGGGAGTGCATAATTTCATCAGCATTGGTTACACAAGCTAACCTGGAACGGCTTTGATATTTGGTGTCTCATCAGCAGAGTCTTATCAGGCAGGCTTGCCGAAACCAATGCTGGTTAACAGGCAAGATGGTCTATCGGCGAGGACCTCCCTCGGACAGGGGGTCCTAGTTGCCCGCAAAACCACGCACTGTGCCGCACGGCTCTCCACAACACCAAGTGATCGCTAGCGGGGTCGTCGTTTAGCAATCGTATCGGGCACGTGACGTCTCGGGTTGAGATCGGTGTGATTGTTCCCCGTGGGGGCCGGTGCGGCGGGCGGCCCGGAGCGACGCTGTGGTGTCCTCACGTGGACGCGCCGCTTGGCTCTGGGGAGCGCGAACGACGCTGCGGCTACCCCACACGATGCCTGCGACTCGAGCACTTAACCCCCCCCCTCCTCCTCCTCTCCCCACCCACCACCACCCCCCCCCCGGGGGAGAGTTTGTATTTTTGTAGGCGAACCATGGCGGTGGCGGCATCAATAAACCCGAGAGAGCGACGCGTGTGGAGCCTCGAGTGAGTGTGCGCGCGCGTGCGTCCGGCTGCCCACGACGACCACGGCAACCACCATTCGGCTCCGCTCCATTGAATCGGAAAGGGTTTTATTCGCCATGAAAAGTTCGCACAGACAAGGAATTTACTTCGGCAGGAAGGTGCATACATTCAACATATAGGAATCTTAAATAAGTGGTGTACAAGTCTAACTATACTAAAGGTACAAAGTCTAACTAATACTAAGGAGCTAAAGTATGTAATAATTGAATTAAAAACAATATACAATATCTATAATATGCAATATAAAATTACAAAAATGCAAATAGGGTAACAAAGTGCAAATATGACAGGGTGTCATTGTACAGATATATTGTTAAAGAACACGATCCGACACCACCAGTTTACCCCCCCCCCCGCCCCCAATGTCGATCGATTCGTAATTTCCTCCGCATCCGCGACGCTGCTGCTGTTGCTTCCTTCTCGACTGGCTGCGATCTCTCCAATTTGTCCTACGCCCCCCCCCCCACAATGCAACCTCTTGGCTAGAATATTAAAATTCGGTAGAAATTCTTCCCAGTGCACCACGCCCGCTCATACGAGCCATTTGTCTGCATCTCATCCGTCCGTCCTCGGTCACTGCTTCTCCAGACTCCTCCTCGCGTGCAGTGAAGATGCGGTTGTGTCATCTCGCTCGTCAATTTAATTGGAGCAAAATTAGATTTCGAGGATTCCTTGGCTCTTCCGATGGCCAATGACGAGTGCACGTTTTTAACTCTTGCCATAATCGGCCGAGAGACTTTTTGCCGGTCGATTGCAATCTTTTCTTCAAGCCGGATGGTATCTCAAGCTTTCCACGGGGACCTCAAAAATCTAATCGTCTGCCACAAGCCGCTTTGCTGTGCACCCTAATTGGTTGCCTTCTAGAAAAAAAGAAATACATAGACGTAATATTGATATAATGCACGTGTAATAAGCGGTCTGGCTGGGCAGTGATGTGGTCCAGAGGGCAGTGCGTTCACCGCTCGCTGTCGAGGTCCACTTACAATCTGGTGGGCTGTCCTGATTAATACCGTGGGTGTATTCGCCGTAAAACATGCGCCTCATGCTTCAGAGTGGATGTCAAGGACCCCCTCGCGTCACTGAGAAGAATACGGCGTTGCTTGCTAGCATCATCCAAATTTGGCAAATTACAAAAATGACCTACAACGCACCGCAAACTGCTGTTAGGTCACCTCGCCCCGCTCCTTTGAAGCGGCCATCCTAAGGGAACAGGCGTCCTTCAGCTCAAAGCGCAGCACATTGAGGCGGGAGTCGAGAAGAAACAGAAAACAGGGGGCTGCATTTATTGACTTCTCGGCGGCATGTGGCACCGGTGTGGCGAGACGGCCTCATGCTGGCCAAGGTCGGTCCATACTGCTCTCTCTCGCACCTGCTGGGAAACCATCGTGACCAATGTCTGGCACAAAAAGCCACATTTACCAAGCTGCAGCATGTACAAAATTATTTTTTACGGGGACTGCAAGATCCGACCATGTCCGCCCAGCGCTCGCTGAGCTGCATTGGATTCTGGTTGCCGAACGAATAAATGTATAAGTAAAGTCACGTAGGTATAAAATAAATTAAATCACGACGTTTCGGGCGCAACACAAGCGCCCGTCATCAGGTGGGACAACCACAGCCAGAGACAATTGCTTGTGTTACGCCCGAAACGTCGTGATTTAATTTATTTAATGTTATACCTACGTGACTTTACTGAAAGAACCACGGAAACTTCAAATCTAGAATACATTTATAAGGTCGCACATTCGTGGCAAGAACCACGATACATTGCTGATTTCGTCAAGTAGCACAAGCCATCGTATAAACTCCGGTCATCCTCGTGGTGCCTTTTTGGCTAACCATCGAACAAAGACGGTCACTGCATCGCACGCTTTCAGACACGTCTGGAACATTCTGATAGGAGGAAGCCACTGGAGCAATGCACTTTTAAATGTAAACTGTAAACTAATTTCTTTAGAACTGCTTTGTGTTTAGTTGTCTTTCCCCCGTGCCTCCGATTAACACGGTTGGCTACGTACGGTATGAAAGAAGTTCAACGGTACATACAACAACAGACACCGCATCCACATTGGGAATAAACGTCAGCTGCCCACCGGATTCCCGACGCGGGCGACATGCCAGACACAACATCACGGAAACCCATGGGAACCTCATTTGCCAGTAAAAATATGAGAATTCGTTTTTTACCCTTCTATCTGGCAACAAAACTGACACCTTTTTACAAGGAGTCATGTTTGCATAGACCACAATACCTGCAGTCATAATACAAACAAAAGACATAACTGGTGCATTGTCTTTGAGTTGTGCGCCTTTTGGCGTCATCTGGTCCAACCCATGTGAGACTAGGCTCTAAGGAAAGCTGTCTCGGGTGTGGACCAATCAACTTCAACGACAGTGCACATTATCAGAGTTATGTCTTTTGTTTGTATTATGACTGCAGATATTTCGGTCTATGCACACATGACTCCTTGTAAAAAGGTGTCAGTTTTGTTGCCAGATAGAAGGGTAAAAAACCAATTAACATCACGGAAGTTTAGATACGCGGACAATCTGGCCACAGGACGGTCACATCGGCCGCATGAGATGATGAAGCCATCCACAACCTCGCCGCCAGAGGCCTTGGATTGGCTACAGAACTTTGATATAAACATTTGAACAACTTGCTGCTCCCCTGCAATAGGTCTCTTATCCTGTAGAAAACCATAGGACAGAAGATCTGCAAAGTCTCGCAAATGTGTCACAAACGGTGCCTCCCGCCCCCCCGCCAGAGGAAACAAGAAGATGCTTGGTGTAGACGGCACTTTGCTTCGTTCATCATTTCGTTTTTTTCTTCAATGCTTTGCTTTATGTGCCCCCCCCTCCCCCTTTTTTTTTAAATGAAAGATTTCACGAAAGATGATCTCTCTCTTCACCTGCGTGTTTTTATATTGGCAATCGCCCGCGTCGGTACCAGTTTAAATGCTGTATATTTGGAGTTTGCGTGTCTCTCTCTCTCTCCCCGTGGTCACTATTATTTAAAGAGCTAATTTAATTCTAGATTTGAAGCTTTCGTGACTGCAAGGATTCATATTCTTAGGTTTTTTCGGTAAAGTCACGTAGGTAAAACATTTTTTTAAAATTAAAATTACCTGAAGACGGAAGCTTGTGTTGCCTCCGAAACGTCGTTATTTTTATTTTATTTTTATTTTACTTTTATTAATTTTAAATTTTTTTACCTACGTGTGACTTTACCGAAAAAACCTAAGAATATAAAGCTACATTTCGATTTAAAGCTTTCGTGACTGCAGGGATTCATCTTCTTGGTTCTTTCGGTAAAGTCACGTAAGAACCAAAGAACCAAGAAAATATAAAGCTAATTTAATGTATTTAAATCAGATTGAATGGCATTAATTCTAGATTTGAAGCTTTCGTGACTGCAAGGATTCATATTCTTAGGTTTTTTCGGTAAAGTCACGTAGGTAAAACATCAAAATTAATAAAAAAAATAAAATAAAATAAACATCACGACGTTTGTTGCCTCCGAAACGTCCTGATCTTTATTTTATTTTATTTTTATTAATTTTGATGTTTTACCTACGTGACTTTACCGAAAAAACCTAAGAATACAGATTGAATATAGACTTGAAATGGGCGTGGCTCCGGAACGACAACGCCCACAACGGGGCGGGTCCTACGTCATGACCACGCCCACACGACGACGCCCATAAAAGGAGCGGGACACGTCGATGGCCACCACCTTCAAAGGAGGCGGGGTGTCGCTATGACAACGCCTACAAAAGGGGGAGGAGCTTCAACGGCCACGCCCATAAAAGGAGCGGGACACGTCGATGGCCACCACCTTCAAAGGAGGCGGGGTGTCGCTATGACAACGCCTACAAAAGGGGGAGGAGCTTCAACGGCCACGCCCATAAAAGGAGCGGGACACGTCGATGGCCACCACCTTCAAAGGAGGCGGGGTGTCGTTATGACAACGCCTACAAAAGGGGGAGGAGCCTCAACGGCCACGCCCATAAAAGGAGCGGGACACGTCGATGGCCACCACCTTCAAAGGAGGCGGGGTGTCGTTATGACAACGCCTACAAAAGGGGGAGGAGCCTCAACGGCCACGCCCATAAAAGGAGCGGGACACGTCGATGCACACCACCTTCAAAGGAGGCGGGGTGTCGCTATGACAACGCCTACAAAAGGGGGAGGGGCTTCAACGGCCACGCCCATAAAAGGGGCGTGGAAACCCGCCGTGGTTTTCCCGCCTCGCGTCGCCATGGATCAGCAATGGCGCGCCCACTTCAAACGGGTGAGGAGCGAGCGGCCGCGTCTCCTCACAACTCATTAAGTTTCTTGTTGTTTTTAACGTCGTGTTTGCACCAACTTATTATCAACCGCAGTCGGGAGCCGGCTCACTGAGAGAATAACCCGTCGTGCGTCAGATCTCGTCGGGTTGAGCCTGGTTAGGGCTTTGATGGGCGGCGACATCGTGCATAGCAGGTGCTATAGACTTGCTGCGTTGCGGGTAGCAGAGGACAGCCCAGCAAACTCTGCTGCCCCCCACCGCCAAACCGCACTGACTGGCGTGGTGAAGTATGGTCAAAGTGCGTGGTTCTCATCCAGCAGTGGAGTGCAGGTGCATCCACAGCACGGAGCCCGAGGGGCAGTGGATGTTGCCCTCAGAGTCTCGGCCTCCATCAGTCCTCACGATACTCCACCCGCCTGTGTCCGCGTTAAATTTCGATTTAAAGCTTCTTTCGTGACTGCAGGGATTCATCTTCTCGGTTCTTTCGGTAAAGTCATCACGTAGAAGGGAAGTAATAAAATAATAATAAAATAATTCTCACGACGTTTCGGCCACAACGCAAGCAGCCGTCCTCAGGTGAAAACCAGGTCCGTCGAGGCGACAGAGTCTGAATGAAAAAAATTAACCCGTAAAAACAAAGTTTTTCACTATAAATCCTTTATATGCGTGG